TGAAGGGAAGTATGTCTGGGGCCTGAGTGGTTTTAGTCATCACAGTGGGTATTTGGGTTACAGATTGTATCAAGTGCTGCATCCCAAGTAACACTTGCTTATCCAGGGTCCTCTCTTGAGCATGTCTTATGGTGCAAGTCTAAAATTTAATGAGTATTTCCTCTAGGATCTATGGAAATCTAAGGGAAAAAAATCCAAGCAGGTTAATAGCAGTTTTTAAGATTTCATATGAACTATTAAAGTTCAAAGAGTTCTCCACAGAAGAAAAGACAGCTAGAGAAGAATAAGGAAAATAAACAGCAATGTTTTCATTACCAGGCTTCTACTATAGTTGATCAAGTATCACACAGATGAGAGGGGCTTGACTGGGTTCTATGAAACACACAATCACAATTTTTTTGTTAGAAGTAAATGTTTTAATACCATCTTTAGCATATTAAAAAACAAAAGAAAATTTGGTAAGGATTCTTCTATTGTTCTTTATACAGATTTAAATCCTGTCAGGTAATTTATCAGTTATATTTATAATCAATAACCCTCTAATCATTGAGATTAGAAATTGCAGTATTTACTGAATTAAACTCTCACAGTATGAGGCACAGCTACATGATCACAAATAGTAAACACAATACAAATAATGAACCCAAACCTAAATGAAAAAATATTCATGCAGGCCAGGGAGATAGCTCAGTAGAATAAGCTCTTGCCTGGCAAGAGCAAGGTCCTGAGTTCAATCCCCAGTACTGAAAAAAGAAAAGAAAAGAAAAGAAAAAAAGCATGCAAAAATGTATTAAAAAGCTATGACCAGATGATTAAATTGAAGGAAACACAGAACGCCATACAAATGACTGTGTCATGTTACAATGAGGTCTGTTCTTCTACACAAAAAGAGTTTAGTGATCTCCAATTCCATTTAAAATTTTTTTAAAAGAGAACACTGTTGAATGTTACGGGTTGGTGCCGAAAGAAACGATGAGAACACCTGATGAAGGTAGCTTGAGAGGTCTCTCTGAGATTAGTCTCTCTCCAAGTGAGCCCTCTGAAGCTACCTTCATCAGGTCTTCTCATTGTTTCTTTCAGCACCGACCCGTAACATTCAACAAGTGGCGCGCAACCCGGGGCATGGAAGACGACCAGGGGTGAGTTAAGAGAGGCCTGACTGCGTGAATCATATGCCCAGAGTAGGCGAGACCACTGGGAAAAGCTCAGAGTAATGGGGAACTCCGCTTCAGTAGAGAATGAGTATGGCTGTCTTATTCGGACATTACTCAAAGGAGCGGGGGTAAAGGTGAAACCAAAGAGTTTCAAGGAATTATTTTCCCTTATAAACAGGCACTGTTACTGGTCTCAGC